GGACCCCTGCCTGCCCTTCCAGCCTTGTCAATGACTGCCCCACCTGGCCCCAGCATCCTGGTGCTGGGGAAAAAAAAAAAAGCCCTGCAGTCACCAGCTGCAACAGCAGCGATCAGGGCCTTTGGGGTCCCATGGCAGAGCCCCCCCGCGCAGCACGGGGCAGCAGGGAATGCCCTCTCCCCCCACTTGCACGGCAGCTGTCGCATCGCGCAGATGCAGTCTGGCTCAGCAGGGTGCCGCACACTGTCCTGGAGCTGGGGTGGCTCCAGCAGTCACCCAGAGCTTGGCAGTGCTCAGCCCAAGCAGCCCCAGCTCCCGGACAGCATGTGGAGCCCTGTAGCACACTGCACCCTCACAATGAGACAGCTTCTGCACGGGTGCCAGGCAGGGGAGAACAATCCCCGGTGCTCTCCACTGCACAGGGCTCTGCCATGAGCCCCAGAAGCCCCAATCGCCACTGCTGCACCCAGTGAATTTGGGGCTCTTTTTTTTTTTTTTTTTTTTTTTTAAAGTGCCGTGCGGAAGGTGGGTGTGGAGCCCCCCTTGCTGCTGCCACATCCCCACCACTGACACTGTCACCTGTTCAATTCAGAGGCTATTCCGCCTGATTCAGCGGCTGAATCTCCAAATCCAAATCAGTCAAATCGAATCAGGACAGTGATTCAAATCACCAAATCAAATCAAATCGATGTCCCTCCGAATGAGCCAAATCCGAAGCCGAATCGAATACTTGCTGCTTCGCACAGGCCTACTCTTAGCCTTCTCTTGTACAAACTAAATGCAGACTCTAAAGCTTTTTATGGTAAGACAGAGGTAGCATGAAAGACATTCACAGCACACAGCAGATCAGGGAGGGGATAAACAGCACTGCGACAGAAATGGATTAAGGCAGAGCAGCAGATTGGGCATGGAGTACAGGGTAGGAAGCAGAAAGCAGAGCAGTAGATCAAGTATAGCCAGGAAACTGGAGTGGCACTCAGGGAGAGTACATGGCTAATTTGTGGCATGTCAGCTAAAAATGTTGACTCCCCATCACTGTAAGATCCGTTCTGAACCTCTTTCAATTTTTCAACTTTTTGTAGCGTGGACACCAAAACCACACCATATTTCAGTACCAATGCTACTATTATTCTCCCTTTGAGCAATGCATGTAAATCCTATTATTGCTAATGTGAAGTCAGTTCACAGAACAAGGAAATTGAATGTCCCCCTGATGAATCAACATTCCTGTGTTAGTAAACCAACCAGGATAAATTGCTTTTTTTTTTTTTTTATTATAGAAACATGCAGTACCTTATCTCCTCCAACTAAAAAGAGGTCTACAGCAGCTATGTTAATGCCATGCTTTTCACAGAGCCCAGATAACATCTCCTTTATTGAGAATCCTGATTTGACAACCATTTTACAAGATGAGCCATCTGGAAGGTTTACACAGCAGTGTTTTGAGGATCTCTCTCTCTCAGATACAGATGCAGGTATTCTAGATGCTTCAGACTTTTTAGAAACAAAAATTAAAGTTAATATCCAAGTGAAAATTAAGAACCACAAGCTATTCAAAACAACTTAAGTCAGGAAACACATTTTTAATAAAGTTTTATGTTTCTCTACCCTTCAGAATATCTCAATTACCAGATAAGTTTAGAAAATATATTTTAATTAAAAAAAGAAACGCATTTTGCGCAAATTTGAATTTACTTCAAAAGCAGCTGTTTTGGATAGTATTTTGCTTTTAGGGAAATTGTGTAAAAAACAAGAGCATCTGGATCCTAGTGCATGATAAGAGTTTTCCCTGCAGGGTAGAGTAATTGGTCAAAAATGCCTAAAAACTAAATATGAGGTTTAAACTAATTTCTGGATAAGAAGCCTTCTACATCAAATAATTACCTTCTTACATAATAAATCACTATGACTTCTTAAATAGCATATTCTGAGTTTACTAAGGTTTTTCATGAGATAAAAAGAGTGCCTCAAAAATAAATTCACTCAAATTAAAAACAAAATATACTTCTCTTCCACCTTATATGCATCTTTTCTACCTTGAAGACTATTGGCCAGATTCATTCATGTGCTAATCTGGACTTCAGCTGCCCCCAAGAGACAATTTACTCAAGGGAAAGGCAAGTGTCAGGACCATATTGTTTTCTCTGGGCTTTGCAAAAAAACAACACCAGCAGAAGCTGCTGGCGATGCACTGAAGTTGATCAGTATGAAATCACAAAATGTTATCTCTATAAACACTTTTTTATTTTAGACTACATTTAAATAATTCCCATCCATCCAGGAACAACTTGCAACTAGGGTCTGGTTGAATACAAGCCTACCAATCACTGGCTTCCTGCAGAGATGGAGAACCTCTGTCTTCACAGCATGCATTGAACCTACAAGGTCACTCATCCATCAGGAGGTGTTAGAGAAGTGGGCCAGTAAACACATGCTACTGGGCAAACAGATGTAATGCCACTTAACAGAAATCACTGCAGTAACCTAGTTCTTTCAGTGGCCATAAATTCTGTACTTACAGCAATTTGTTTCAATTATGCTATGGTAACATTTACTATAAAGTCAGAGAAAGGAATCTTAATAAATACAAAATATCAAAAGTATTTGGGCATATTTATTTAAACACTCAAGCTAGAAACAGATGTCTTCTTTAGAGAGGAATCAGCTTTAACTTCATGTTATGGGTGCATCTGCAAGCGCGTCTCCCCGCTTGCAGATGCAGGCTCAGTATCAGGGTGAGGCACCCAGGGCCCTTTTCCTGCAGAACTGTGTCCCTGAAGCCAGGGCAGTTCTTGCCTGGGGCTGTTGGAGCAAAGAGACGTCAGCCACGAAAAGGCACCAGTAATTATTACTAGATTCATTGCTGCCACAACATTTAAGCACTTGTGGGGCAGCAAAGGGCTATGACGTCTGTTCACTTGGATTCTGTGCCACCATAAAAAATGTTTATGTTGATACAAGATCCACGTTTGTTTGCAGCCTCAGGGTTTAAAAGGACACTATCAAGAGCTTTTCTTAGCCCATACATAGTATAGTTCTTTTCCTTTCCATTGTTTGCAACACCTGGTAAGCAAGATCCATAGATTCACAGATGTAGGGTCGGAAGGGACCTAAGTAGATCTTCAAGTCTGACCCCCCTGCCCTGGGCAGAAGAGAATACTGGGCTCATATGACCCCAGCTAGGTAACTGTCAAGCCTCCTCTTAAAGACCCCTAAGGTAGGAGCCAGCACCACTTCCCTTGGAAGTTGGTTCCAGACCCTAGCCGCCCTGACTGTGAAATAGCGTCTTCTAATGTCCAGCCTGAACTTACTCTCAAACAACTTATGGCCATTATTCCTTATTAGTCCGGGAGGTACTCGGGTGAACAAGGTCTCTCCCATTCCCCGCTGGTGCCCCCTGGTAAGTTTACAGACGGCCACCAGGTCCCCTCTCAGCCTTCTCCAGACATTCACTTAAGGTGTTTCCAACTTAATTTTTACGTGCCGTGATGTCTAAGTACCTGACCCCAAGAGAAATCAGAACTTGTGGCAGAGGTGGTATCTTTTATTAAACCAACTAGATATTTGCAAAAATATATTTGTTTTTTTATTTGCAAGCTTTCAGGCATAGGCACCCTTCATCAGGCATAGGAGATTGTAAAAGTTCTCCTGGGTAACTTTTGCTTTAGTGTTACAATTCTGGGTAACATTTCTACCCAGGAGAACCTTTACAATCTCCTATGCCTGAAGAAGAAGAAGGGTGCCTGTGCCCAAAAACTTGCAAATAAAAAAATTATTTTTTTTTCCAAATATCTAGTTGGTTTAATAAAAAGTATTTATTCATCTGCCAAAGGATTTATACAAGGCCTTCTGACTTTATAAAAATAAATAAATAAATAAATTCTATTTATAAGTACAGTAAAAAGAAAATTGCATGAAATTTACATTGGTATACATGTAAGCATTTTGAACAGTACTGTAGAAAACTGGGGATATTATGGACTTCTTGGGTAATAAGCAATTCCCCGCCCTCACACATACAGCCTACTTGATTCTTAAAAGCTGGCCCTTACCAGATCAAGGCTTGCAGATGATGACATAGAGCCCTGTGATTCACGTCTGCAAGATAATCCATTGGCCTGAATAGAATCTGTATGTGGGAAAAGTTAGTGATAAGTAAAAAGGCCTGGGTTTACTATTTGTACAGAAAGCAACTACAAAAATCTCATGTTATCTGAGTAAAGAATTCATTTGCTGATCTGAGAAAAAAATGTCAACTCCTCATACTAGCCCTAAGTTGAAACAGTCTTTAATTCTGTTATTTCTTGTGTATTTAACACCGCTTGCACTCATGGCTTTTTATAAGCTTGAAAAGACAAGGTCCCTGCTCTTGAAATTTACTATCTATATTTTAAAATGACTATCAGCTTGTGGTGCCTTAAAATGCACTTAACAGACCCCTTAAAAAAAGAGACACAGGGTACATCCACACGAGGCTACACTGCCATATCAATGCACTACGGCGACATAGTGTCCATAGACATAAACTGTGACGCCGCAACTACATCACTGTAGCAACGCGCTCTCTCATAGCGCGCTGCTGTGGAGATGTAGTGCCTAAAAATAACCGGGCACAGTGCACATAGCACAGTATGGGCTGTTACTGCACCATCTTGTAGTACTTCCAAAAGGAAGTACTAAATGACTGTGCAGTAACAATGGCACCATGGTGGCACATGTAGATGCAGCCATTAGCATCCTAAAGTAGGACACCCAAAATCCAAGGCCATCAGACAGTCCTTAATCTTGCATACATGATCCAAATGTATAAGGACTAGGCCTTAAATCAATATAAACAAACAACAGACTGTTATGGGTAAGTGGCAAGGAAGAAGAAACAACAGTAAAAGAACATGGATTTAATGCAGCTGATGACAGTGACAGTAACAATTTAATTCAATGGCTCTTCCTGATATTGTTCTGACTTGTTGGACAGAATTAACTTTCTTTGGATTGCAAGATTTTTTTCTACTCTGTCCAACAAAGACTACTACAAGAGGCTGGACCTCTGTGCTTTCTTTAAACAGGCTGTCCCTTAGGCTTTAATGCAGTTATGAGGGAATTAAATGCATTTTTGAACAAAAAAAACCTCAATTAGATAACAAACCTACAGAGAAGAATTCAAGGGTCTTCATAACAATCAATGCAGGAGCATGTGGATATATAGCTTCATAAGCCTACTTTTTCTTTAAGTATTCTTTGACTCTGGTAAGCCAAGAGGGCTCCAGGGCCCCTTTACCACTTTTTCTGTATACAGGAATGGACCTTTTCTGCACTCTGAGGATCGTTCCTTTGAGGAATGACCACTCTTCCTGAACTCTCTTCCCCTCCAGTCCCCTTTTCCAAAGGGTCTCTCTCACTGTTTTCTTAAGCTCGTTGAAGTCAGCCTTCCTGAAGTCAAGCACCTCCACCCTACTGGCTGACTTCCCTGCCCTACAACAGATAGTGAATTCTATCATCTCATGTTCACTGATCTCCCAAATTACCCTCAATCCTCAGAACCAAACATGGAGACTCTATCAAGTTCTCTGGAAAATTCCAGACCGAGTTCCTCCTCCTGGCATGGCAGTCTGTAGTAGACGGCTACCATCAAGTCTCCTTCTCCTTGTCCCCCCCCGTATCTTGACCCACTGGGTCTCAAATCACCCTACTCTTGAATCAGTTTGGGTCTCTGAGGAGGCACACTGCTCCTTTACACAGAGAGTTACATCTCCTCCCTTTTCCTCTACCCAATCCCTTCTGTGCAGCCTGTAGCCCTGTGTGCACACAGCCCGGTCATGCGTGGCATCCCACCAGGTCTCCGTTATTCCAACAAGATCATATTCCCTATTTGCTAGCAGGAGTGCCAGTTCCTTCTGCTTATTACCAATACTCCTAGCATTTGTGTATAGACACTTAAGACCCCCATCAGTAGCCCCCAGTTCCCCACCGCCCCAACATTGTCCCAGCCTCTCGACACATCCGTGACTGCCCTATGTCCTTCCTGCTTGGCTGTTCCCTGGCTTGCATTCCCATCTGTACACCCATTCCCAACACATCTAGTTTAAAGTCCTCTTCAGCACGTCAGTCATCCTGGAAGAGGATGGAGCTAGACTGTACTTGGTGGTAACAGATGACAGAACAAGGAGCAATGGTCTCACGTTGCAGCAAGGGAAGTTTAGGTCAGATATTAGGAAAAACTTTCTAACCAGGAGAGTAGTAAAGCACTGGAACAGGTAGCTAAGAAAGGTGGTAGAATCTTCATCCTTGGAAGTTTTTAAGACCTGACTAGACAAAGCCTAGGCTAGGATAATCTAGTTGGGGATGGTCCTGCTTTGAGCAGGGGGTTGGACTAGATGACCTCCTGAGGTCCCTTTCAACCCTAATTTTCTATGATTCCATGATCCCAGACTCAGGCATTCCAAACAACTGTGCATCCAGCTTATTGTTAAAATCTTCCAGTGATGGAAGCAGGTGAAGTTTTAGATTCCTGGACATCCTGATTTACTAAGGACAAAATATCAGAGTAAATCATCTCCAGAATATATTTCTCCCTAAGGAAATTCAAGATGCACATTTTAGAATAGGATTTGAGAGAAAAAGCCTCTGCTACTCATGAAGGGAAAATTCATATGTTTTAACTGCAGAACACAAGACTCACTGAAATAATTTTCCAAGATACCAACCTATGCTGTGTAAAAGGTGTTTTGAGGGTTTTTGTTTTGAACAATTTTCTAATTGCTGTTCTGTCCATGCAAGATGAAGCATAAAAGACTAGACAGCTTGTGGAAATACAGTGGGAAGGGTCCTGTAAAGCACTACCTACCTTCAACAGGGCAGTCAGTGCAACTCAGACATCTTGCATACAGTAACTGTTCTGAATGGGAGGTAACAGCTTCCATTCTTAATATGTCTGATCAGAAATTGTGCGAATGAGGATAGACCTCATGGTGAAGTGCAGCCAGAGCTTCTTAGTCTGTTGGTTTTGTCAAAAGCTTTATCTTTAGAAGTTGTCCTATCAGCCTCAACAAGGGAGAGAGATTCCAAATTTGGATCTATACAAGTTAGTCGTAAAGGGAAGCAAAAGGGACAATGAAGCTACAGCAGCTAAGCCCTCTTGCATACTGAGATGTCTGACTGCTCCATGGGAGCTGAATGTGCTTGCCTATAGAAAAAAGCAGCATATTAACTGAATGGGAGGATGAGATCCAGCTTATCATAAGAATAACGTTGTGTAGGCAAAAAAAAAGCCTCAACCTTAGAAGTTAACAACACCTGAAGAAGTAGGCTGTCACCTGCAAAAGTTTATGCATCTCTGAACAAGTCAGTCTCTCTAGGCACTCTGCCCTGCCTTCTACCTTGAATATTGGTGAAATTGAATTTAAGCAACTGAAAGAAATCCCACTGGCCCACATTTTCAAAGCAAAAAAAAATTAATTTAACAATTTCTACCTATCCAGACTTTTGCCTATATGCCAGTGCTCATTTCTATTTTTTCTTATGATTGCCCTGATAGCAGCCCTAGCTGTTGTGGCTCTTGATATGACAATTTCCCTCTGTGTCAGCTCGGCAGGAAATTAAAAACCTACTCAATGGGTCTTGCTTTATACTGATGTTTGGATTTCCTGCTACATGCTTACACTGTGAGGAGTCCTGTTGTTGAAGCAACTATGCAAAAATGTGAAACTTGGAAACTCACCATTTTGGTAATCACCATTTTCTTTTTTCTTCTGTGATTTTCCCAGACTCTTACTTCTTGACCAGGAGAAAAATGTTCCTTTTTTCTTCTTCTCAGCATCTTCCTCTCCAGATTCTTCATTTAAGGATCTTCCAGACTTTGATTTTCCACTTAACTACCATTAAAACAGTTAAAACATTTGCTGAACTACTCCTGTAAATGCAAGGGTTCTCAAAACTCTCCTAACGTGATCTAACATCTTGGGAGAAAGGTTGTCTACTTAATTTTCTCTTCACCAGTTCAACATTGTATGTGTCAGTTCTCCTGCCATTAGCAATCGAGTAAGACTCCAAAGGATAATATAAGAATTGCTTAGAATGAAAATACTGTGAAAATAATGCAGTGTAGCACCTAGAAACAAGAATATATCTAACCATATTTCCACAGACTACTGATAGTCTGTGGCCTATTTCTAAAGAAGAACTGATTTAAAAGCAGCTGCAATTTACTTGATTTTTAAAAATAGAATTTCACAGTACAGCAATCTTGCTAGTCTTGATATACAAACTAGTATTAAATTATTGGATAATGTATTGCTTAACCAGCATTTACAGCACCAATTATTGATCAATGATGAAAAGCAGTAAGGAAGCTACTTTTATAATATTACAGCTACATTTCATTTTAATAAACATTTATTTTTGTTATTAATATGTTCTTTAAAATGTTAAATTAAAAATGCTCTGTCTATATATACACGCTAATTACTGTATGCTGTATAGTGCCTCATATGAAAATTGCTACAAGTTATAATCTACCATTATAATGAAGGAATACGCACTGTGGTAATGTTTTCTAGTTACAAAGACAAAACAAAACTGTTAAATGATAGATGATTGTGAAAATCAAAATGAGTAAAGCTGCGACTACCAAACAAATATTACAATTTAAAAGATTATCAAATGCCTTTGCTCTCAATTTTATTATTTGAATTTTATAATAAAATAAACACAGGGACTGTAGCCATGTTGATCTAAGGACATAGGCAGACAAGGTTCTTTGGGTGAATCTGATATCTTTTATTAGACCAACTTAAATAGTTGGAAAAATTTTTCTTAGCAAGCCTTTGGGTTTAAAAAACTTTGTCAGGCTGAAGAAGCATCTGCAGTTGGTCTGTGCTTTTCCTGGATGGAATGAATAGCGAAGAAGCCAGAGGCTAGGCTGGTATGCAAGAAAGGCAGTCAGTGAAGATGTAAATTGAGGAGTCAGTGGGTGAGAGATTGGGGGGGGGAAGGTGGAAATGAAGGAGGGAAATGAATGTAGCAGGTAAATAGTGGAGAGGTACCTGGGGAGTCGGATATCACGAAAGTTATAAAGTGTTATAAATCCAATGGCTACATTTAGTCCATGATTTTTTGTATCCAGGAGGCTGATGAAATAAAGTTCATAGGCTCATCTGTGAAAAGTTTTTTGTAAAATTCCCTTTGAGGATCAGGACAGAGATTAGAGAGAGAGTGGTTTTGTGAGAAATGTGTCCCCACAGGCAATTGGGTGCTCTGATCTTTAATAGATTTCCGGTGTGCGTTCATTCTGGTGCGCAGTTCTTGTTTGGTTTCTCCTACGTATTTTCCATCTGGACATTTGGTGCATTGGATGAGATATATTACATTTCTGGAGGTGCAGCTCTAAAATCAAGGAATGCTGATGGTGATGTTGTGGCGTGTATAGTAATTATGTGGGTGGTATCCATAGCTGTGGGAGCACATTTCTCACAAGAAAACCTCTCTCTCTCCAATCTCTCAGTTCTAATCTTCAAAGGGAATTTACAGAACACTTTTCAAAGATGATCCTATGCATTTCACTTCATCAACCTCCTGGATACAAAAAAATCATGGACTAAATATAGACATTAGATTTATGACACATTATAACCTGCCTGACATCTGACTCCCCAGGTATCTCTACACTATTTACCTGCTTCATTCATACCCCCACCCGTGTTTCACCCACTGACTCCTCAATTTACATCTTCACTGACTGCCTGTCTTGCATGCAGCCCAGCCTCTGGCCTCTTTACTTTTCATTCCATCCAGGAACAGAACACACCAACTGCAGAGACTTCCTCAGCCTGACAAAGGGTTTTTAAACCTCAAAGCTTGCTAAGGAATTTTTTTCCAACTATTTAATTTGGTTTAATAAAAGATGTCAGATTCACCCAAAGAACCTTGGCTGCCATAATAAAAAAAAAACCTTTCAAATAACTTGAAGGAGTGAGGCTCAAACAGACCAGGAAGTTTAAAAAGTAGGGAGTAAAAGGAAGGCCCAGGGTGGACTAGGACCTCTACTAAATGGGCATAAGCAATTGGTGACGGACAGGGGGGACAAGGCTGAACTCCTCAACGAGTTCTTTGCCTCAGTGTTCCTAAGCAAGGGGCAAGACAAGGCTCTCACTGGGATTGTAGAGAGGCAGCAGCAAGGCGCCAGAATACCATGCGTAGACCCTGAGATGGTGCAGAGGCACTTGGAAGAACTGGATACGTTTAAGTCGGCAGGCCCGGATGAGCTCCATCCGAGGGTACTGAAGGCACTGGCTGACACCATTGCACAGCCACTGGCGGGGCAG